ACCGCAGTAGTGGAGCAGCATCAGAAGCTCTTGATTCCTGGACAACCGCAGCTCAACATGTGTGACCTCGCTGTCATGGTGAGAACATCATCACTAATGGCAGGAGATCCTTTCTGCAGATCTCCTTTAACATAGAAAGTGAGCTTTATAAGTCTTCATTTAGCATTTGATTGATTCTTAACAAGCACTTTTGATGTCAAAGGGATAGTTCACCCAAAAATGAAAATGTACTTACCATTTACTCAAACATTCATTCATTACTTGTTATCTGTTGAACACGAAACTAGATAATCTGAAGAATTCAGTATAACTTTGTGTGTGCGTTTCTGTGTGTGCTTGTGCGTGTGCTCGTGTGTGTGCTTGTGTACTAGTGTCTGTGTCCAACAAAAGAATGAAGAACCTCAAACAGGTTTGGAACAACTGTAGGATGAGTATAGATAGATAGATAGATAGATAGATAGATAGATAGATAGATAGATAGATAGATAGATAGATAGATAGATAGATAGATAGATAGATAGATAGATAGATAGATAGATAGATAGATAGATAGATAGATAGATAGATAGATAGATTATTATCTAGATTTATTAAAAAATTTTATTATTATAATTTTTATATGCATGTTCTTTTTAATGTAAACCTTATAAATGTATTGGCAGTACATTTTTAACATTTACTATGCCAATAAAGCAGTTATTGAATTGAGAGAAAGAGATAGAATGATATAAATTTTACCTCAGTGTTTTTTTTACCTTAGTTTCCGTTTATTTAATAAATGATTAAACCTTTATTATTATTATTTTTCTCATAATTGGCAATACACAAAAAGACCATCTTTTCTGCCACTGCAAATGTGGATTTAAATGGCAGATTGTGTTGATAATAATGGAGCAACAGCGACCTCAAGTGTTGACTCCGAGTTTTGCACGAGCATATTTTCATTGTTTGGTTTTTGTGTTTGTCCTCAGAACTGGACTCCTCCTGGCTGTGAGCAGTTGGGCAAATGTCTAAAAGCACCGGAGTCTCAGCCATGGAAATGTGACTGGCCACATTAATCTGTTTACTCATAATTAGTTTTACAAACATGTCTCTAAAATCAGAACTCAGTTCACAAAACACATGATTTGTAAGGCATTTATATGTGTGTGTGTGTGTGTGTGTGTGTGTGTGTGTGTGTGTGTGTGTGTGTGTGTGTGTGTGTGTGTGCGTGCGTGCGTGCCTTACACAGGGGTTTAATGAAGTGTTTTTACTTAGAAAAGGGAAATAAAACCTTTTAATTATTTAAATACGATATTATTTATCTTTTCTTCTGTTGAATACTATACAAATTTAAGTCCTTTAGAGTTTAATAAATAAAACTGAGTCCATTCCTTAATTTTCCTTCGACTTAGTCCCTTTATTCGTCAAGATGAATAAATTCATGAACCGCCAACTTATCCAGCATATGTTTTACTGTTTTACACTGCGGATGCCCTTCCAGCTGCAACCCATCACTGGAAAACATCCATACACTCTCACATGCGTGCACACACACACACACACACACACACACACTATGGCCAATTTAGTTTATTCAATTCATCTGTGCCGCATGTCTTTGGACTGTCGGGGAAACAGGAGCACCTGGAGGAAACCCACATGAACACAAGGAGAACATGCAAACTTCACACAGAAATGCCAACTGACCCAGCCAGGACACAAACCAGTGACCATCTTGCTGTGAGGTGACAGTGCTAACCGTTGAGCCACAATGTCACCTAAAACTGTGTCCATCTGACAGAAGAAACAAAACTAAAAAAAATTTGTTTTGGTTGTCCTCTGCAAAAAAGTAAACACACACACACACACACACACACACACACACACACACACACACACACACACACACACACACACACACAGTTATCTTTATGGGAACTTCCTATAGACTTATATATTTGTTATACTGTACAAACTGTATATTCTTAACCCAAGCCTCACAGGAAGTGATCTGCACATTTACATTTTCAAAATATTTCATTCTATGTGATTTATGAGCCGTCTCTCTTATATGGAACAATAAAAATGTGGCAACAGTGGCACAATTTACTGGTATTGCTATACTTGTTGGGACATTTGGTTCTCATAATGTGAGGAATACAAGTATACACTAATTATTATATATATGTATATACATATGGATATGACAAAAAGTAAAGTACTGTATAAATGCATAAGCTTTCTGTAGTAGTGTCGATATTCATATTAATACTGCAGATGGACTTAAGTAGATTTGAATGTTGTTAATTAATTCATTTTCCTTCAGCTTAGTCCTTTTATTCATCTGGGGTTGCCACAGCGGAATGAACCATCAACTTCTCCAGCATTTGTTTAACACATCGAACTCCCTTCCAGCTGAAATCCAGTACTGAGAAACATCTATACACACTCGACTCATTCTCACAAACACACACATACACACACACTTATACACTATGGCCAATTTAGATTATTCAATTCACTTATACCACATGTCTTAGGACTGTGGGGGAAACCGGAGCACTCCGAACAAACCCATGCCAACAAGGGGAGAACATGCAAAGTCAACACAGAAATGCCAACTGACCCAGCCCGGGCTCGAACCAGCGACCTTCTTGCTGTGAGGTGGCACGCCCCTGAATGATGTTATTTTGGAATAAAAAGCTAAATTTAAAAAATTGAAGTACAAAATGTCAAAAACAGTCTCTTCAGTTCTTTTCAAGGGCAATAGGGCTGAACATATTTTGAGAATGTTGTTGATGATGAAGATGATGATGATGATGATGATAAAAACATCATGTGACAGCTGCCTGAGACTCACTGGATGTCACACACTGATGGACAGACTGTACTTACACACTATCAGGGTCACTGTCAGCGCTGTCTTCAGAAGTTAAATCATTGTGTAGTCCACAAATAAATATATAAGCATGTCTTTTTGAGTACATGTAAATAAACATATTTTCTTATATTGACCCATTGTTATTTTATTAAATGCCATCAGTAGTTCAGTGAAAAAAAACTGCATTGTTCTCAAACACTGTAAATCATTAATATGGAGAGATTTCATGTGCTCTCATTATCATTTTCCTCAAATGAAGTTTGTGATATAAACAGATTACACATTCATTCATTCATTCATTTTTCTTCGGCTTAGTCCCTTATTTATCATAGGTCACAACAGCGGAATGAACCACCAACTACTCCAGCATATGTTTTACGTAGCTGATGCCCTTCCAGATGCAACATCCATACACTCTCACATAAGTTTAGACATACACTCATTGGCCACTTTATTAGGTACACCTGTCCAACTTTTGGTTAACGGAGATTTCTAACCAGCCTATCACATGGCAGCAACTCAGTGCATTTTTGAATGTAGACATGGACAAGACAATCTGCTGCAGTTCAAACCCTGAACGGTTGATACAAGGCAGGATGGATCCATGTTTCATGTTGTTGACGCCATATTCTGGCCCTACCATCTGATTGTCAAAGCAGAAATCGAGACTCATCAGACCAGGCAACGTTTTTCCAATCTTATATTGTCAAATTTTGGTGAGCCTGTGCAAATTGTAGCCTCCGTTTCCTGTTCTTAGCTGACAGAGGTGGCACCCGCTGTGGTCTTCTGCTGCTGTAGCACATCCACCTGAAGGTAGAATGTGCTGTTTAGAGATGCTTTTCTGCATACCTCAGTTGAAACGAGTGGTTATTTGAGTTACTGTTGTCTTTCTATCAGCTGGAACCAGTCTGGCTATTCTCCTCTGACCTCTGGCATCAACAAGGCATTAGTGTCCACAGAACTGCCGCTCACTGGATATTTCTTCTTTTTCGGACCATTCTCTGTAAACCATAGAGATGGTTGTGCGTGAAAATCTCAGTAGATCAGCATTTTTTGAAATTCTCAGACCAACCCGTCTGACACCAACAACCATGCCACGTTCAAAGTCACTTAAATCACTTTTCTTCCCCATTCTGATGCTCAGTTTTAGGCTAACGGTGAGGGCGGGTGTTTAATGATGTGGGGGATATTTTCTTGACACACTTTGGGCCCATTATTACCAATTGAACATCGTATTAATGCCACAGTCTACCTGAGTATTGTTTATGAACATGTCCATCCCTTTATGACCACAGGGTACCCAACTTCAGATAGCTACTTCCAGCAGGATAGTGCACCATGTCATAAAGCTGTACATACACTGTACTCAAATGGCCTCCACAGTCACTAGATCTCAATCCAATAGAGCACCTTTGAGATGTGGTGGAACCGGAAATTCGCATCATGGATGTGCAGCCAACACATTTGCAGCAACTGCGTGATGCTATCATGTCAATATGGACCAAAATCTCATTTCCATTTCCATTCCCTTGTTAAATCTATGCCACGAAGGATTTAGACAGTTCTGAAGGCAAAAGGTGGACCTAATAGCCTGTAAGTGTATATTTGCATATGTACTGTACAAACTTTTATTTTGCTTATATGTATATGATCACATAATTATTTTTGTACATCGTGTTAAAATCCAAATGTGTGTTTTTTTTTTAATTGTAACATTGTTTTAAAATCACATTTGTCATTATTTTGAGTTACCTTATTTTTGTACAAGAATCATAATACAATAATGAGGAGACAACTTGCTTGTCCTCCTGTGTAAAGCTGTTTGTTTTCTTTACTGCAGCTGCGAAATCAGAATCCACTGGGATTTCGCCCTTCAGTTCCATTTCGGTGCTCCTCTCCTCCTTCATTAGGGAAATAATGATCCTTTGCGGATGGAATGTTTGTATATGAATTAGAAGTCTATTGGGTAATATTATGTATGACAATAAAATACAAATGTATGATGATATGCCGTTATGACATTTCCTTTTCCACGTAAAATAAACTGTACCTTTTATTACGTTAACGTAAAATCACGTGGTAAGGAAGCGCGTGCTATTGGTTTACGTGAGCACGCGGACTTCTTTCATTCACAGTCCAAACATCCACAGCGTGCATCATGGCAGATAAGCTGGATTTAATCTCCAAGTGCATAAGAACTTTCCCTGATTTCCCTACGAAAGGCATTCCGTTCAAGTGGGTGTTTATAAACTACATTGTTTTTAAATGTGAGCAGTTTTATAGAAGGGAGACGTGGAACTGGAGAAAGCGGAAGAGTGTGGCGTTAATGGGAGATGTTTAAGTTTGGCCATAACATTTTGTGTGTCGCATCGTCTGTTGTTTTGTCTGCAGAGATATTTTCCCAATCTTAAAGGACCCGAAGGCTGTTACTGCAGTGACAGATCTGTTTGAAGAGTACGTGAGAAACACTTACCCTCAGGTGGATCTCATAGTGGGTAAGAGAGTGGTTATAACATGTATTTATCGTGTGACGCGTAACACGACAACAGGTTAAAAGTTGCAAAACTCCCGATAACCGTTGTGAGATAATAAAAACCTACTGAAACCCTTCCAAATGTAACCTTGGCCCACAAATAGGTCATTTTTTGGAACCTGAGAGGTGTAACGTTACTTCATGTGAAAGCTGAATATGTTATTTTGGACAAAATTTGGTGGAGAAACCGCCTATTTAAACATCTGGAATCTGGGGTTTTAAAATAAATAAATACATAAAAATAATGAGGAAAATCGTCCAAATTAAGGTTTTAGCATTCTAAAGAAACGAATGGCCATTTATGGAGGCTTTAAAAAAATCATTGAAGACAAGTGTTACTTCATATTATGCTAATGATTGTAGCATAAAAGAAAAATCTATAATTTTGATGCATGCAAAGTATTTTTTGTTATTCCCACTAAGGCTGGGCGATATGGCAAAAAGCAGTCTCAATAATAATTTTCCATATTGAACGACAACAAAATATATTTCAATATAAGTTGTTAATGCCTCCAGATTTAAAGAATATCCAATGACTGAAGCCACAAAAATTAGAGGGTCCATTAAATGGCATAACATATTTTTGGCTGATAAAATTTTGGTGGCCGGAAATTCGATACATCTCTAATAACAACACACTTTTAGATTCCTGTTGTTGCACAGTGTGATTTGCTTTTAGATCATTTTTTCATTAATTCATTTTCCTTTAGCTTAGTTCCTTTATTAATCTGGGGTCACCCCAGCAGAATGAACAGTCAACTTATTTAGCATATTTTACACAGCTGATGCCCTTCCAGCTGCCACCCACTACTGGGAAACATCCATCCATCCATACACACACACACACACACACACACACACACACACACACACATACACACACACACATACACACACACACATACACCAAGGACAATTTAGCCTAGCCAATTCACCTGTAGCGTATGTCTATGGACTGTGAGGGAACCCGAAGCACCCGGAGGAAACCCACACAAACACATGGAGAACATCCAAACTCCACACACAAATGGCAATTGACCCAGCCGAGGCTCGAACCAGCGGCCTTTTTGCTGTGAGGCGATTGAGCTACCCATTTTGCCACGGTGACATCGCTCTTACATCAATATAGAGTAAAAAAATCCAGAGCTTGTTGTTATTGACATGTTTTATCTCGATTAAATATCGATATCGTTTATCGGCCCAGCCCTAATTTCCACTAATATACCCGTGCAAATGTTTTTAAAAAGGCATTAGAAAGCAATTCATAAAATAATACTCCTCTTTAGACCAATAGAATATTGTTACATTTAAATGATTAAATTTTAATAAATTGAAAATGTTTAATTATGATTTTTAAAATCACAGGACAATCTCTTGTATAAAATATTCCTGAAAGATTAGCTTTAAATTCTTTGTAATGTCCTACAATTTACTGGTTGTCATTAACCTATTTTGGAGTATGTGTTTAAAGAGTATTTTTTTAAAAATCATTTTAATATAGTTTGTTGATTGAGGATTGCTTATAAGGTTGATATTTTAACTTGATAATTTAAAAAAGTATTTATTTACTTTATATCTTATATACAATTTATATACAAACATTTTATATACCATTTCTTGGTTGTATTTTTGTTATAACTGTCTAGTCTTGTCTTGGATTTTATGATGTATACATTTTAAACAAACAAACAAACAAAAAAAAAGTAAATTAAATGAGTAAATAAGTATATATTTTAAGTATGTTAATACTTTAAGGGTGCTTTTCCACTGGCACTTTTGGTCCGCACCTGGGTTCGTTTGACATCAAAGTACGGTACATTAAGCTTGTGTGATCGTGTCTTCCGAACTCAGGTGCGCACTCAGGAACTGTACCCGAGTCTGCCTAAAAGAGGTGGTCTGGGGTACGGTTTGAGCAAACTCTGGTCTGGTTCACTTCTGTAAGAATGCAATCGTATCAAATAACGGAAGTAAACCACCCACTCTACAACAAACTATTGCTTTGCTTTCGTGGCTGTCACCTAGCAACAGCCGTACACACAGCAGCAGCTCCACGACGCAGGTGACGCAAAAATAGATATTTCGCAGCCCCACGATCTACTTGTAACCAGAATTTAGGGATTTGTGTCGGAACAATCCTGAACTGGATCCATTTGGCAGATCCCTCTTCTCACACATCAGTAAAAGACATTATAGTTTTATGTTTCTGTGGCGAGTAGTTTTACACATCAGCCAAGTCTATTCTGTAACATTGGTGATAACCTGATTTTTTTCAAACAATGATTATAGCTCAGTTTCTTTTCTGGCTACACCAGTGTGTTGAAGAAGAGTGGTTAAAGACATTCTGCCAAAAATACCCAGATAATCCTTAAAAATAATCCAATACCTTGTTAAAAAGAAAATTTGCTGTGTTAATGGACTGTTTGTGAATAGGTTTCTAATAAATTATATTTAAATTTGATTCATGTATAGGTATTTAGTGTGGGGTCTTGGGCCAACATAAGCAGAACTTTTTAAATCTTTACTTTTGTTAAGTCATTGTATAAATTTGTTGGGTTTCTGCTAACACGAATTGATGTTGCAATTTCTCAAAAATAAAATCCTAACATGTAAATAAAATGCTTTATCTTATTTATTTCTGCATAATAATAACAACAACATCTAATAAAATAAAAATGAAATATATTTATTTCCAATGTTTTTTTCTGTATTTGTGTCTTTTAGGGTTAAGACAGTGTAAGTATACTGTAGTACTGTAACAGTCATGTTTTCTCTATTCTCTTCTAGGACTTGATGCTCGAGGGTTTCTATTCGGGCCACTTTTGGCTTTGAGATTAGGAATAGGATTCGCTCCGATCAGGAAAAAAGGAAAGCTCCCTGGTCCCACAATATCAGTTGCCTATAGTCTTGAGTATGGAAAGGTAACTCTGAAATGAAAGTTATGCAGTAGGGCTGCACGATATTAGAAAATTGATATTGCAATACTTTATTTTTCTGCAATAAATTTTGTGTTTATAAATAGTTTCATAAGATGGCTTGAATAGCTCTATTTGGCCATTTTCTGAGAAGTCTAACTTTATTCAGTTAGAAGTCATTCTTACTTTGCTTTGTGTCCTTTCTAGTCCAAATATCTAAAAATTCTTAAGTAAAATATTGTTTTGTTTTTATCTAAAGAGGAAATAAGTCAAATTTAAGAGTTTTTCTTTAAAGCAAGTGAAATGATCTTTCATTTGGGGAAGTAAAATAATCTTGTTTTTGCTTTGAAATTAAGATATTTGGACTAGAAATGAGACGAAAATTCTTATTACAAATTATTTATTTATTTATTTATTTATTTTTGCATAAATTGTATATATTTAATATAAATGCAGTAATTAAAATTCTGTAGCTCCTGGTCAACTATAATTCAGACTTAACATTGTATATCTTGTGATGTGACTATTGTGTGTGTGTACATTGTGATATCGGTGCTGAAATGATATATTGTGCAGCCTTATTATGCAATATCACATCTAGTCTGTATACAGTTCTAATGCAAGACTGTGTTCATGATTACATTCAGGCCGAGGCAGAGATGCAGGAAGATGCTGTATCTGCTGGACAGAAAGTGCTAATCATTGATGATTTACTTGCTACAGGAGGTAAGTGAACCTGCGTAAAATGCTTATTTAAATACTCAAATTGTTACTAGTATTATTAGTTTGGGGGATTTTAATATACCAAGTTAGATATGCTTTAGTTTCTTAGCATCGACCTGAAAATAAAAATATTTGACTTGTGGATCTTGCATGCGTCAGAGCACAGATTTGAGAAAATTAATTAAATTCTCTTTTGAGTAAATTAAAACTTAATGCACAAAAACATAAGTTTAATGGCGAGATTTTTCTATACAAACTTTTTAAAATAACAGTTTAAATAACTAACTTCTAATTCGTTTGTTTTGTCTTTGCCAGGATGATAATACTTATTTTACTATTTTCAATTAATTTTTTTATTTTTTTAATTATTATTTAAGCAAGTTAGGTTAATTAGGCAAGTCATTGGACAACAGTGTTTGCAATGCCAAGTTCAGACTGCAAGATTTTCAAAGTAGTCATGTCACGGATGTTTTCACACTGCTTGACTATCTGGGCTAGCGTTTTGTCGCTGCTTTGTTTACACTGCAAGATGGATCAGCTACTGGGGCTTTCATTTTGCATGACTTTACAATTGGAAGAATCATTGAAAACTTTGTTCAAACTATGTCTCACAGCCAAAAACACGTAGTATATCCTTTGTTATTAACTATATAATGAGAAAGAAGCCGTTAACGGGGTAGAAAATGTACATATTTGCTCACCTGGGTTTGAAGGGAATTAGCCATTTCTCCTCATTTTTCTTTTTTAACTTTCTGTATGAAACGTCAATCAGACACGGGTGCTCCCATCAAACTTTTTCTCCATTGCTTTGGTCCAAATAAACCGAAAATGAGCACATTTAATTTCTCTCTCAACCTCCAGCTGGCTTGCAGGTACACACACACACACACACACACACACAAGTGAATGCTGCTCTCTTATTAGCTGTAGGCGATCGGCGATGTTATTTTCAGTCAAAACTCATTTCACACGGCATGATTTGAATCGATGACAGCTCCAGATATTCAGCACGCCAAATATCCCACAGGCATCGGGGACTCATCGCCGATTCTCTCAGATCGCGTCTTTGGTAATTCATACTGTGTGATTGCCACTTGCGTGCACGAGCCCCGATTTGCCTGTGATTTCAGGCATTTGTCGGGAATTTCTCAAAACCTGTCGTCGAGTCAAAATCGGGGCTAAAATCATGCAGTTGTAAAATATAATGATGACGGAAGAAGTTGTGGTAGGTTATTTGGGATGGGTGGGTTTCATTAAAAGGGTTTTCAGTCATTACTTGTTTAGCCTATATTAATACGTTTAGTGTAAGCTCAACACCCATGCAACATAAAATATTTATGACGGTGATTTGTGTATGTTTATTAATCCTTCAAATCACTGCATTCAAATCTGTAACGCAAAATCCAAGAAAAAGATTCATTCTTTAGTCTTGAGTTGGTTATGAAGTTACAGTCAAATAACATATTTACAGAGTGTCATGCAATACTGTTTTTGTAATAAATGAAAATCAAATGACATTTGTTGTCTCCTTTTTGGCTGATTCCAAAAAATTTTATTTAATTCATCTTTATTTCTATAGCACTTTTACAATGTAGATTGTGTCAAAGCAGCTTAACACAGAAGACCTAGTAAACTGAAACTGTGTCAGAGTTCAGTTCAGTGTGGTTTAAATTTCACTGCTAAAAGTCCAAACACTGAAGAGCAAATCGATTGATGCACAGTTCCACAAGTCCCAAACCAACCAAGCAAGCCAATGGCGACAGTGGCAAGGGACAAACTTCACCAACTGACGAAAGTGAATGAAAAGAAAAAAAAAAGAGAAACCAGGCTCAGTTGGGCACGACCATTTCTCCTTTGGCAAAAAATGGTCTGATGCATGACTAAAAAAAACATAATGTAATCTGAACCATGAGATTTGTGATTTATTACACCACTAGTGTTTGTTTTGTAGCCATCTGAAAAAAAATGTCTGAAGTAGGCTAAAAATATTGACCTTAGCAGTTATTAAATGTATTATTTTGTTTTTATTACAGAAAAAAAAAGAAAAGAAAGAAATATATGATACTTGACATGGAATATAAATTGAATGAAATAGTGATTATAAAAAAGAAATGAATAATAACGGGAACATATCCTTGCTCTGCTAAACATAATTTAACCCATAAAACCCTGACAGAATGTAGTATTTACTGCACTTCATGATTTCACTGATGATCTATAAATATATTTTTGTCTTTTTTTTATCATACAATGTACAAGACATTATTTTCAAATCAATGGGATGTGGATGTGTGAGGTCACAAGTTAGTTTAAGTATTTTAAGTAACCGACTACAATTTATACCTCAAGCACTGTATGTTGTAGGTGCATATAAACGCCTATATTTACATAATTTATTACATGCTACTATAAACTGAAGTATGAAGCATTTTGACTTCCACTGGCAGGGTATTTATCCACAAAGATGTTCAATGGCCAGTTAATCCCAGAACAGACGAGAAAATAAGAGAAATTAATGTTAATAGACATATACAGGATTCATACGACCGTGAAAAAGTCGTGTAATTTTGACATGGCATTTTCCAGGCCTGTACACTTGCATATAGGTTAGTTGTCTTTTCGTCATTTTGTCTTTGGCAGTCACATGCTCTTATGTTATTAGTGCTGTGTTAGCATTATCTAAATAAATTTTACATAGATATAAAAATACATTTAAACTAAATAGATTGTTGCATGTGTTATGCTACGCTGTAATACATTTGATCGTGCATATACGTAGACATTGCATGACACATTAGGTCATGAAAATTTACTTGAAAGTCTTGGAAAAATCATAGAATTTTAGTTATCAAAATGTGTTTGAACCCTTGCTTATACCATCAATATCTACAATAACATTTTTCCATCTCTCATCAGGCACTCTGTATGCAGCCATTGAGCTGATCAAGCAGCAGAAGGCAGAGGTTTTAGGCTGTTTGGTGGTGGTGGAGCTCAAGTATCTCAATGGATCTGACAAGCTGAAGCCCACACCGGTGTTCTCTTTAATACAGTACTGACGGTCCTATACTTTCACATCATGTGCGGCTCTGTCTTATTTTGTAGGTTTTTCAGAGGAACAATCTATTATTGGCACTATGGTTTACACTTCAGGAATTTTAGGGGGTTTCAATCAATTCTGTATTATTATTATGTTTTTTTTTTATTCTACCATGGAAAATGACATTACTTGTAAAAGAACCTTGCTGTGTATAAAATCATTTCAAACTTGAGATAGGTACTTGTTTTACATAATTACTTAATTTTTGGTTAGCACCGTCACCTCATAGTAAGAAGGTCACTGGTTTGAGTCCTGGCTTGGCCAGTTGGCATTGCTGTGTGAAGTTTGCATGTTCTCCCCATGTCGGTGTGGGTTTTCTCCGAGTGCTCCGGCAATCCCTACAGTCCAAATACACGCGCTATAGGTGAATTGAACAAACTAAATTTCCTGTAGTGTATGTGTGTGAATGAGTGTGTATGGATGTTTCCCAGTACTGGGTTGCAGCTGGAAGGTTATCCGCTGTGTAAAACATATGCTGGATGAGTTGGCGATTCATTCCACTGTGGTGATCCCTGATAAATAAAGGGATTAAACCGAAAGAAAACAAATGCAATTTGTACAATGTTGGCTGCCAGCATCAGTTATTTTACTTGTGTTAATGAGATATTCACTCAAAAATGAAAGTTTACTCACTTTTTACTTGCCTTCAGGTGGTTACCGAATTATATGAATTTTCTTTTTCTGTTGAGCATAAAAGAAGGGTTTTTTTGTTACCCACCAAGCAATTTTGTGTTTGAAAGACGTCTAAACAGACAGTACATTTACACTGATAACTCAAATCTCTAAGAATAGCCTAAAACTAGACTATACTCATCAAATACACATTCATATCCAAAGTTGGAAAAACATAAAATGAAATCCAATGGGTTTCCAAGCTTTTCTAAAATATCTTCTTTTGTGTTTAACAAGAGAGATACTACAACAGGTCTATGATAACTGAAGGTTGATTAAAGCAGTGTTTCTCAAAACACCTTCCTGGAGGACCACCTGCAATGCATGTTTTGGATGTCTCCTTTGTCTGTAACCGATTACAGTTCTTTCAGTCTCTGCTAATGAGAAGATGATCTGAATTGTTTAAGGAAAGATGGAAATGTGCAGAGTTGGTGATCCCCCAGAAATGTCGTTGAGAAACATTGGATGAAGAAAATAATCATATTAGATTTGGGGCATCATTTTCAGATTTGGGTGAACTATCCCTTTTTATTCCAATTTATGAATCCTCTCGTGGCCTCTTTGGATAGCAACATGTCTAACGTATGCACACTTAGTACATTAGTATGTTTTTAGAAAAGCGGGCCTTAATACGATCCCTAATGGTTCTCTGATCTCTTGCAAAAAAAAAAAAAAGACTGCTGCCAATCCAATTTCAGACATCTCTTTGCAAACTTCCCTAAGCATTTCCAATCTTGATGGAATCCCACTTTGAGTTTACTTCACGTGTACACTCACAACTATATGTCCCGCAATGCAAATGTGATGTCACAACAGCGACTTGTATTGTGTAGTAGTTTTCAAATGGTTGGTGTATTCCATTTAATCCATTTCAGATGTTCCACCAGTAGTGGACACTTGTATGATGATCAGTGATGTACATACGAGTTGACAAGACAGGGAACCTTGGTAAACTCTGACCTACGAATGTGCATGGCATGAGACCAATAGGAGAACAAAAGCGTTTTAAATGTTGAGGTCTTGCGTTTTTTATTCCCCTTTTTACATCATCACAACAGAATTTTGCATGCTCAAACTCTAGTCTTATTATTAAACTCTATGCCTTGTCAACAAGCACACATAAATTGGACATTTTGGGAATGGATTATTCCATTTACAATGCTGTAGCAGGAAAGTATATAATTTGGGTGTCAGTAAGGTTATAGAGATGCTTGATTTGAGCTTCCAGCTTCTGTGCATACAAATAAAACAACAGCTTAAAAGCCATTTTTTGCATGAAATTGTTTTATTGTAAATGAATCAGTGCACACTGGTGAACTAGAAGAACCACAAAGTTTAGGTTACCAAATGTGCCAAACGTAGTCTTGATATGAAATTCTGCTACATTGAAACCTTTTACAAGTGTACATTTATGAATTATTTTGTTAAAAATCACAACTTGACTCCATTAAAAACATAGTGAACATCAGACTTGAAACAGTCTTGTAAAATAAAACGTCTATGAACAAAGCTAAAAGCAGTAGTCATCTAAAACATGGTAAAATCCAGGCATAATACATAATAAAATATTGCACATGGTATGGTCTCAATTGTCTTGATTGAAAATGTCCTCAAATGCGCTCCTCTTCCTTTGTCTTCTGGTTGAGTTTGTCTAGAACAATGCTCAGGTCTGTGGTCTTGTTTAGTTTGAGGTACAAGTCCTTCCTGATCGGATGTATTGTTAGCCATGCAGGCGTCAACTCGGCTAGCAGACGAAGATGCTTCTCCATTTCATCTAAATCAGAATGACATTTAATTAATTTTAAAAGCTAGTCAACTACAATCAAACGACGTACAATAGCATTAATTTCTCACACACACAATACAAAGAGACAGCAAAGTTTAAAGACGTGCACTTTAAATCCAACTTTTAAAAACTTGGTCTTATATGCAATGGTGTTTTGGAGGCATGAAAATAAAGCCTGGGCTGAGGGAAAATGTCAAACATCTGTACTAACCAGAAGTGAGTGGAGATCGGTAGCTGGCGATCATGCGGTTGCAGGCCAGCTCCATGATGAGGGCTGGCTTCTTCTCTGCCACAAACACATTTCTCAGGATTCTGGCCAACTCTGGCAGCCGTGACATCATCAACAGACGCTCCTCCTGCTGAGGGTTTCGAGTCATAACAGCGTGCAGCTTCTGAGCCTCTTTAGCACGAATCTGAAAAAGGAAAAAAGAAATCCGGATCAGTTTTTTTTGTAAATTTCAATAATGTTAATAACAACGATGACGACGGCAAGGACTTTTGGACTCACCCTTTCCAGCAGTGACTGAGAAACTCCTTTGAGGGCACCAGGGGTCTCTGTTGGGGTCACAGCTGATTTGGCTGTGGTCTCAGGCTCCTTAACACATGCTTTCTCTGCTGTTTTCAAGGCCATGTTAGCCAGCGCTTTCTCCATCTGGAAAATTATTACACACAATTCAGCGACACATTGCTCATGATCAGTGGTGTAAAGTAATTAATTATAAATACTCAAATCAGTGTAACTGAATAGTTTTTCTCAAGAATTGTAATTTACTTAGCAGTTTTTAAAATGTGTACTTTAACTCACTTGAGTACATTTTTTAGTGCAGTATTGGTACTTTTACTCAACCTGCAGTCACTACTTTATTTATTTATTTTTGTCTATGGACCGCAATCACAGGACTGATTTCTCTAATCCCCAATCAAATCGCACATAGAAGATAAATCACATCATAATGAACTACCTCAAGACATGGGCGATTTAGGATTGCAGCAAACTGTTTGGAAGCATCAAACGTGTCCAAGGAAATGTCCAAAATCTTTACACGCATTGACCCAGAGACTGTTTAAATGCATGTCACTGATGAGAAGATAATGGATGTTTACTGTATGATGACCGAAATGGCCTTAAACATCCAGCTGACACAAGATGTCAACATGACATCAGAATGACGTTGTAGCCTATCATCATGGGTACGCTGCATTTTGTTTGGAAATGAAAGTCAGGTTGACGTCAGTGTCCAACGTCCAACCTAATACCAACGTCTAATAATGTTATAGCTTGATGTTGTGTTGATGTTACCACTATGACGTCTATCAGACGTTGGATTTTGATTGCCATAACTGATGAATAAATGTCAGTATTTGACATCATTATGACGTTGGTTTAAGATGTTGGCTTAGCATTGGATTTTGGTCACTTTCCAACACAACCTTACATCGAGCAAATATCAACGTCATTACTGAAATCAAAATAATGTTGTCCTTAGACGCTGGCTAGACATGGAATATTGGTCTCCTGACATCACAACCTAAATCCAACCTAATATTAATGTGTTATGACGTTGTGTGCTTGCTGGGCAATAACAAGATGCACTACAGAATGTTAAGTTTACACACAAACATGCACAAATTACATGTAAATGCATATCAACTTTTTACAGTTTGATACACACTGCTCTTTACTCAAAGTATGACTAAAAAGTAGCCCTTTCAAAAGTACTCAAGATTAGCATTTACAACAGATAATTTTACTCTACGTGCACTACATTTAGGCAAGCAATGGTTTTTTTCATTGAGTATGATTTTTCAGTACTCTTTCCACCACTGTTTATGATTGTTTTTGGATTAATTTTGAACTTTAGTGCCAAACTAAGTCTAGTAAAATGAAAAATTCATGAACAAAACTAAAAATGTTAAAATGCTCTTGGTGGGGTTGTAAGAAGTATCAACATTTGTACTAATCGATACAGAAATGAAAAACTTGCTACCCTGCTAACATTTAAACACATTCTTAAATGCTGCTGATTGGCCATAGTGTTTAAATGCTCAACAGCTTCAATGGTGATTGGCTCTGATGGACATTGCGTCACCAATCACTAAAGCCACCTTTCTGCTGCACATGAAAAGAGTCAAATTAGAAGTCATTCATTTACAATGGAGAGTAGTCCAGGAGCTACAGGGAGTTCCAATCATCTCTGTATGCAGAAAATTCAGATCCAATTTGCGCTGCAGATCAGTTAAAATATTTGAACTTCTGTGACTAGACTTTGACTGATCTGCAGGTGGGGATTTTGCTGTACCACCTCAACTATTGAAATAATCTCAAAACAAACTTTGTTTTGAGTGGATTTTGCTAAAAATGATCATTTAAATTTTTTTTCTTCATTTATGTTTGAAGTTTACTGGCCTGCAGACTGCAAAAAAAAAAGAAGAAAAAAAAAAGGGGGAAAAAAAGCGCTCACCTTGGGTGTCATGAGAGCACGAGCCTTGTCCAGCACTTCCTGCGCTGAGGTCAGCTTTTCGGTTTGAGGAGGTTGAGGCAAATCACTTGGCTTGACATTGGGAACCTCGTCCACACTGAATCTGGGATGCCAGCGGGTCAGTTTTTCATCAGGGACGACAATAGGAGGATTCAGAGAAGCAAGGAACGTCTGCAAAGACAAAAGATAATTAAAATATAAATTAAGATTCATGCCAAATAAACAGTGAAGTATTTCTGAGGCAGAAGCTATGCTCACCTTATGGTGTCCCTTTACAATTTCAACCAGGTTTTGGTGAAAAATGTGCCTTCTTTCTAAAAGACGAGAAGCTGACAACACTGGCCGAACACCCTTGAATTCTGGAGGAAACATTTAATAAAGAGAAATAAGAGAAAAAAAAAAAACATTGAATTTAATGATTTCACAATTTAAAAAAAAAAAAAAAAAAAAAAAAAGTGAAAATTTAAGAAATTCTGGTGAAAAAGTACACTGCTTGTTTGTAGGGCTACACACACAAACTTAGTAATTTTTCAGGTAATTCTAAATTTCTTTCTTCTGTTGAACACATACACATATATATACACACACACACACACACACACACACACACACACACACACACACACACACACACACACACACACACACACACCGTTTTCAGAATTATTAACTCCCGGTGACACGCAGTCAGATATTTCGCCAAACAGATCTGCCACTTTTAGCGCTCAAACAATCATAAAGCCCTCGTGCTGGAGGAATGAGGAGGTCTGCTGAAGGTGTGCAGCTGTTGTGAAGTGAGAAGTTTGGGTCTTTAATAATCTAGGGCAGTTTGCGTTCATTGAACAGTAAGAATGATTAATAAATCCATATGAAACAGTCCCTTAAAGTCACGTCTAGCTTTCAGTTTCGGGCTTTGGCGCATTTTGCACAAGTGAACCGCGCTCAGGCCCACCTCTTCCAACCAGGCCAGGGTCGGCCAAGTGAACTCAGTCAGTCTGAGGTCAAGAGAACTCTGAAGCAGGTTTTCATTCAGGATGTTCTGTACATTGCTGCATTCATCTTTCCTATATCCTGACTAGTCTTCCAGTTCCAGCAGCTGAAAAGCATCCCCACAGCATAATGCTGCCACCACCAAGCTTCACTGTAGGGATGTTATTAGCCTGCTAATGAGCGATGCCTGGTTTCCTCCCAATGTAATGCCTGGCATTCACTCCAAAGAGTTCAATTTTAGTCTCATCAGACCAGAGAATTTGGTTTCTTATGGTCTGAGAGTCCTTCAGATGCCTTTTGGCAAATTCCAGGTGGGGAGTGGCTTCTGTCTGGCCAATCTACCATACAGACCTGATTGGTGGTTTGCTGCACAAATGGTTGTCCTTCTGTAAGGTTCTCCTCTCTTCACAGAAGAACGCTGGAGCTCAGTCAGGAAGGTGGTCAATAACTTGATGGTCACTTTGTCTAAGGCCCTTCTCCCCCGATTACTCAGCTTAGATGGCCGGCCAACTCTAGGAAGAGTCCTGGTGGTTCCTAACATCTTCCACTTATGGATGATGGAGGCCACTGTGCTCATTGAAACTTGCAGAGCAGCAGAAAATTTTCTGTAACCTTCGCCAGCCTTGTGCCTCGAGAAAATCCTGTCTCTGCGGTCTACGGACAATTTCTTTTTCTTCATGCTTGGTTTGTGCTTTGACATGCACTGTCAACCCTGGGACCTTATATAGACAGGTGTATGCCTTTTCAAATCATGTTTAAATCAACTGAATTTACCACAGGTGAACTCCAATTAAGCAGCTGAAACATCTCAAGAATGATCAGTAGAAACAGAATGTACCTGAGCTCAATTTAGAGCTTCATGGCAAAGGCTGTGAACTGATGTACATGAGATTTTTCAGGTTTTTAATTTTTAAAAAATTTTCAACAATTTCAAAAAACTTTTTCACATTTTCATTATAGGGTATTGTGTGTAGAATTGAGCAAATAATTAATTAAATCCATTTTAGAATAAGGCTGTAACATAAAAAAATTTGGAAAAAGTGAAGAACTGTGAATACTTTCTGGATGCACTGTATACACATACACTCATTTATTAATAAAGACAAATTAATAAGTGTAATTATAAAATTACTGCACACC